TGTAGTGAACACGAGCAACATAAGAATCTGAAATACTCCACAGTAAAGCGGAACTCTTGGGCTAAACGAGAATAAAAGTAGGCTAGTTCACCTTTCTTTAGCAATAAGAATCTTTATTTAGGCAACTTGGCGATGGCTAGAAAACATGAAGGAAAACAATAAACCAGAACAACTCAAAGGAAACTAAGTGGAAACAATGAGAGAGAAGTTCTTATGGTTATGATTATTCTAGTGCTAACTATATAAGTATTTTTATTTTTCATGTCAGGGCTGTAATTACATTTGAGAATTGTGGGAGCTAGCACATATACGACTGTGGCAAAATTCAGTGGTTTACAAAGTTATCAGGAGTTCACTTATCCTGAATAAGCACCACATGGCTTAAAGGTCATCTCAATTAGGAAGAGACTAGGAACTGTGCTGTAGAAGAATAAATATCTTATTGTTCCTGCATACAAAGAGAACTTGTCCCCTCCTTCCTCCTGACAAACAAGACTGTCTGGGTGTGCATTTGTGCACACATACACACAAGAGACCTTAATGCCAAGAAGTGTTTGAGATGCTGCTGCAGCTGGTACAAGAACTTGCCATAAATCACTAGGATTGCATTCCACAAGTTTCTTCAGGACAATCAAGCTATGAAATAAAATTGTAAGGTATATACCATTGTGAGGTCCTGGTCACAAATTTAATCCAGTAAACTACAGTTAGAAGGCTACTGCTGTCCTCTTTCTTGATTATTATCTATTTTTGTGGACACATATTATATAATGTGCTTAACACCATCTGTCCCATACACATTTTTGACTATCAGAAGTTGTTGCTAAAATGTTTTGCAATTTATTTCCCTTTGCATTTGCAGATTTATATAAAGCACATCATAATTAAACATAATGACAGGAAAAACAACATAAATCTAAAAATCTTATCCTACTTTAATCTTGCTAACTTAAAACTCAAAACCTTGGAGATAGCTGTTATTTACACAATCTTAACAGAACAATCTCTCATATTGGGGGGATTAAATCAGTAAGTCTTGATCTCCATGCCAGATGTCAGCTATTTATTTATTTGAAGGGTAATCACAGTAGCATTGACAGATTCAAGCTTGTCTTGCTTCAAGAGAGATATATCTTGTCAGGGACAGACCCAACCCCCAACACCTTCACTTCATGTGAAGGGTATTTAGCTTATAAATGAAGAAGAAGCATGCATGAATGGAATTGGACATTTTAGATGGAATGGAAGAATCCTTATTTGTTGATTCCTATTTTGGTATTTATGTACTACTGTTAGTAATTCAGCTATATCATGCTTAAGTGGCATTTGGGCTCGTAAGTAACTCTGTTCTCTGTGTAGCTGGGTCTGAAGTACCTATGATCAAGTTTAAAACACAAAGATATATCTACTGACCCCCTCCTCGCATGCCCACACCACAGCATGTCACTTTTCTCTACAGTAAACCCCAATGTGAAAGTGTTAATTTCTATTTTCATTCTTTCTTGAATATTTGCTCCATCCCCTGGGATCTCTGGCAAGGTTTTTGATCCTGATGGGTCAGAATCTATTCTGGTTAGTTGCTCTTCAAGCACTACTTTGCTCTTTCTAATTCTGCTTTAACAATTAATTGGCCAACTGTGTAATGCTTTTTCTAGTTCATTTGGATACTGTCCAGCTGTGGACATTTGATCTCTCATTTCTAGTGATCTTCATGATGATTTGGCAATGCTCCTGAAAGCCACTCCTAATGGATTAGAAGCACAGGTACTGTGTGGTCAGTATGTCTCCAAGGCATAAAAATTCACTTTTTATATAGTATATATGAATTTATATAGTGATTTTTTTTTAAATCTTCTATTACAGAAGTAAGAAATATTTTTTATTTTTTGCTTTCTTTTAAGTTGGTAAAGTTGTGGTGGCTGTTTTTGCTCTTTTCTGACAATGGAGGGGTGGCTATCAAGAACATACCCACCCTTGGCATGGATGCAGAGCTATTGCTATTTTGTCCCTTCTTTGGAGGGAGCAATGGGAGTCAATACAGCTGTTCTGCACAACCTCCACAATGAATGTTCAAGGGAAAACAGAACAGCAAAGCTATAAACTTACCTGAGCAAGACTGCAATGGTCTAAATTTACAGTAATGAGAAGTTTTAATTTGATACCAGAAACTGCAAGGAAGGGATGAGGTCACGTTTTGGCTAATGAATGTAATATGCACTGTTGCTGTTAGGAGGCACTTGCCTAGGACTAAGGTCATTACTGTTATTTATAGTAAGACAATTACTAGGAAAAAAATCAACACTAAAGCATTGCACAGTGGCAATTTACAGAACTATAGAAAAGCAAATAAACCCATACATAGTCTGGATACTGAGAGGAAGTGGGGAGGGGAATAAATTTTCTAAAGAGGACAGCCTTTTTACTCATTAATGACTATTTTTTACGCATATATAAACCAGAAAATATCTATTTCTAATTATTTTAGCTTTGTGTTACCAGTTCGGGTTTTTTTCCTTTGTCTAGCCCCTTCTATAAATCATATTGCCCAGTACACATGTTCATTACATAAGCATAGGAGATATATAGTCATCTTGGTAAATTATTTTAAAGAGGAATTTCATTTGAGCCTCATTTCAAGCTCAAACATGGAAAAGTGGAGACCTTGATGAGTTACTTACATCAGGGTACTGTTTGTCCTGAATACTGACTTGAACACAGATAAATCAAAGATATTAATTTTTTGTATATTTCCACTTGACATGTAAAATTTTCTTCTATAACTCTGTGTAAGAAAGCTAAAAATTTGCACAATACAATCTAATTCTGTGCTACTCCTAGGCCTTCTCCCAAGGTAACCTAAATTGATCTAAAAGTCTGAAGCACATAAGTGCTTCACAAACACAGTGCATTCTGAGTACCCCTCTACAACAACCTCTTCTAATACTTAGAAATAAATTTGTATAGGGACAAGGATCTCAGATCCAATATATATAGTCTTATATTAATAATAGCAAGTAAACAGAGCATTTTGTCCCTTTATGCATGTTCTCCTTTCATAAGGAGTCAGGCTTGCAACTTCTATTTTAATCTTTCTTTAAAAATAACAAAGTCTCAATTCTTCAATATTTAATAATTTTTTTTTCATTGATTCTCAGAGTTAATCTTCAACTTTTCATACCATATGCCCTCTGTTTTTTGTGAGTGAGAAAGGAAATGGAGAATTTCAAGACAGGGCTAATAGTTTGCACTGACTAAAGGTAAATGTGCATTTTGAACAACTTCAAAATATAATGAACGAATAAAGGTCTCTAGAAAAGAAAGAAAGAAAATCAGGGTTTTTTCATCCAACACCAACAATCAAATAGCTATATTTGATTCTGTAACAACCTGGACTGTTCCCTCAATAGTCACACTTGACTATTCACAACTCATGCACATCTACTTCACCACTATTTATTTATCAGAATGGAGGCAATTGAAGAGAATCATCACTATGAAATAATAAAATATCCTCGGGAAAAGAATCAAACCAGAGAATAAGATTCTTGGTTTCTATTTTGTGAAAATATACCTTCAGAAATGATTTCATGGCTTTATTTGAAAAATGGATATAATCCAAGTGAAGAGATACAATTCCTCTTTCTCTACAGACAGAAACACATTATCCTTTTAAATAGGAAACAGGGAGTATCCATTTCTTTCTCTTCCTACCCTCACAGAAGGGAAAAAGAGGGAAAAACCGAGATGTAGAGTAAAACCCCTCCTTTGCATTTGCAAATGGTGACTCTTGCATCAGTACTATAACATGCAGTTGCATAGGTATCAACATTATTTTCTTAGCTTCTGAAACAATCCCTGCATTTCATATTATTTTTCTACAATGATGACAGTTGACAGGCAACAGATAATGTCTTTCTGAGTCCTTTAACACATAAAGTATGCTATAGGCATAACAGGCTCAAAAAAGAATGAAAAGAAAATAACACAAAACAATTCTGCAAAGCCTTGCAAAAGAGCTGTGGCTTCATCAGAAGCCACCACTGGAGCAGGATGCTGGCCTGTGGGCACATGGAGAGAGCACCTCAGGCTGGAGATGGTTAGTTGTCAGGACTTATGTCCAGGCAGGGGAAGCCATGCTAGAGCAGTCTGGCTACTGGAACTTAAAGGCAATTTTGTAGTTTTATGGTAAAAAATCACACCTGCCTTCAAGAGATATAAGATTATATTCACACTTTTTCACTGCTTGCTGCATGGCCCTTGGTTAAGTCATTTTTGTGTTTCAACTTGACAGGTTTAATGGAATATCTAACATTGATATGTCATAAAGCTAACAGTGACTTGATAGAAGACAATAGCACAAGCACAGACTCCCACCCTGTTTTAGGATTAGGCAACATGAAGTCTACTGACAGACTTTGGGGGGGTTGATAAACAGTAATGTAAGAGACAGAAAGAAAAACTCATGCTCAAATATCTTGTTTCCCATCACAGAAGTGCAAGTGATAGAGAAAGCAGGGAGTACCTCATTCAGTGAATCCCAACTTTTTACTGCTAAAAATTTTTTGTTGACAGAGCTTGTAAATCTTGAGTTCTGGGAGGAACCTTACACATTTGAGGAGTGTTACCACTACAAATGAAGCATTTAGCATTTTCAGAATTTGTGTAATACTTAGCTAGCAACTATTGATTAAACATTTGAATAGGCAGCCAATTTTACACATTTTCAAACTATGAGCGTTTAACTAAAAAACCATAATTCTATTGTTTCAAATACATTGAGAGTTAGGTTATGTGATCATCTGGAAAAAAACAGTGTGATATCTCACCTGCATCACTGAGACTTACAGACGTTTTACTCTGCTTTATTGCCAGGATTAGGTTTTCAGCAATTTTCACTGTTTTGTTTGCAAACCAGACATAGCAAGAACACACTCTTCCCAAGGAAGAGTAGTAAACAGGCAACGCTTCAGTTCACTTCTTCAGAAAGAGGTATGACTTACCTTGTGGAAGTTCCTGAAATATGCTGCCTTCTCATCTGGAAATTTTTCTAGCCTCCTGGGTCCTTTACTGGAAGCCTTCTTGAAAACCAGCCAACAACGCCTAAAAATCTGTGAACAAAATCAATGAATTCTATTACTTTTTCTTTAAAGGTGGATAGTATTACAAATGTATTCAGTTACAGAATTGACTTAGGAAGAAATTTTGAAATGACAGCGTTTTACTTCAAGAGTAAAACTTGCAGTTCAAAGAGAAGCTGATTAATGATAATCCTCTAGACTATATTATGCAAGTAAGAGATTAGATATCAATCTAGTTTTATAATCTATGACAGCAGTTTACTTCATTATTCTCACCAGTACTTGAACAGCTCTATAAGCAATACCATGTGGAATTTCATGTTATTAATTCAAGGATACATTGAAAAAAGTCCCAAACCCAATACCACTCAATGATTCCACTGACCATATGTGAAGAACCTTAATTCAGTACAAATTCTACACAATTTAATGACACACACAAGAAATACAGTACTATTAAATTTGGATCAACCATACCTCCCATTACCAAAAAACTAAATAATTAAAAAACCCAAGGAAATTAGAGCAGGCAGAGTTTTCCCCTCAGTCTGCTATCTAAACCAAACACAAGCAGAAAATGTAGTGTAGTAGCTTAATGTAGTGCTTAAAATAATTAAGCTTAAAATAATTAAGCTTAAGTAATCACTTCATGACATAATACTACTGACATTATCCTGTTGCCACTATCTAAGATGAATGTTATCAGTCAAAGTGTTTTCTTTTAAAACCCTACCATTGGGCTACAGTATCAATATGTTTAATTATGAAGACTTTTCGAAGAAAACATGGTACATCATTAAATTCTCTGCAAGTATACAACTTACAAAGTGTAGAACTTTTAGGCTTTTTTTACTAAGGTTGTAAAGTGGCAACTGTACAACTGTGCTTTCTATCTCAGAAATTACTTCACCTATCCTGAGGGAAAGTAAAGACGGTATTATATTTCCTGAAAAAAAAATGACATTACACTTTGGGACATCATAAACCATCTTTATTAGATAGTACTTTCTTCAAATAACATCTTGGCAGTATTGCAACTTGACTTTACCAAAACTACAGCACTGCTCCCACAGTTATTTCTTGATTAAACGTATTAGTTTAACAAAATTTTGTAATATGAAAAGCTCCAGACACAAAGATATAGAATATTCCACTATTTTGACCTTACTAAAAAACAGCAGCACCAGCTGTCTGAAAGGGACATATTTATTTATTTACTAAAAGTGTCACTTTTAATAATACTTCTGGGTCTTCTGGGATCTTGGGTAGTTTTTTTAGTCTATGTATAATTTTAGTTCATTTCTCGTTCGCTGAGGAAAGTCTTTTCCTAGGAAGTTCTTTATGAAGGTAAAACCCACTATCTTAATTTCAAGTTTTCTCAATTTCCTTATTTTCAGTATATGCCTTTAATGTCATACAGTCCTCAAAAAATTCTCTTTAGAAAAGTTAGACCAACCCTAGTCATCATCTTCATGTGGGTTTTAGCATAGCCATGGAATTTGCATTTTACAGATGACCTGAATTTTTGACAGCTGGTGACAATAAACCTGTAATTTGTGTTGATTAACAGAAGTATTTCAAAGGTCAGCGGAGTTTATTTTTATTCCTTTGTTTGTTTGTGTTTTTTAAAATGTATTTTTATACATGTATATATGGCAGTCATATTTTGTTGCAATAAGAAGTATCAGTTAGATCCAGTACATTAGAAATATCCCTAAAAAAGGCAAACTAAACATCACAGTCATGGAGTCAGACCTTTCCCTGTGAGGATGAGAACATTTTCTAGATCAAAGGTCATCTAATGCATACTCCAAAGCACTTCCTTTAGTGACAAATGAGCAGGTTCAGATAAATGATGGCTTCAGTCTTTTTTTCACTGTATATCAAGTTGAGACAGGGTGAAAGTGAATTTGAGGTTTTGCAGATAAGCTGATGAAATTCCAGAGGAAGGGTTTGACCTCCTTATTACTGGGAACTACTATCAAATACCAGGGCTTGATGCTAGTTATCTTTAAGGATGTTCCTCATCAGGCCTTCTCACACATTTCAGAATCGAGTTAATTCAAAGGGTTCAGCATACAGACTGCAGGAATGAACAGCCTTTGCTTTTAGAGAACATTGAATAACAAGAGGAGAGAAACATAAGTTTGTCCTTTAGATTGTAACTGCTTCAATTTATTGGCATTTCTTTTTTCCAGACCTTTAAGAAGAGGAGAGATCTGAAGAATGAAATGGCCCAGAGAGGACTCCTGATAGCCTATGAACTCATGCCAAGATACATCCTTGCATTTGGATTTTATTTTTTGCAACCTAATTTTAAAGCTGGTATATACATGTACAGTTCCATTGCATTTCAGCAGCATTTTACCTTATTATGCCAACAGACACTTTGTATCTTAGTGCTTGGAAAAGTATTAGCATATGAATTTACCTATAAATATGAATAAATAGGTGCAGATGTGAGCACACAGCAAACAAACATTTGCCTTTCATAAGGCACCTCATTGTTATACAGAAGCCTACTCAATTATTCACGAACTGTGAGATACTCTTTTATCCCTGGCCTACTTTAGGATGCCATTGGCTGTAATCAAAACTTCTGAAAGACTTCTAAAGTCCTCAGATAATTGGGGAAGCCATTGTGAGAGAAATCAGCATCAGCCCCTCCAGAACAGAGGGAATTAGAACCACTCACTGTATTGTCTCCATAATACTTAGTATTTCCTGTGAGACTGTTTTCCACATGTGCTTAGTTGAAGAAATGCCAAATATTTGATCATTTAATCAGGGTTACATCCTCAGATGAGCACTCACCGTTCAACAAATATGATTTTAAAATTTTGTATCAAGGGCAAACAACACAAAGTCTGCCCCATGCCATTGCATTTTTTACTGGAGCAATTGAGGAAGATGGCATTAAAAACATGCTGGCTTTAGGTTTTCTTTTATTACTGTATCAATTAGAAAAAACCTGTTCATTACAATCTTGAGAAGGATTCTATTGAAATTACCTGCAGAGCCTTAGGCATAGCTGAACCTCTTTAAACAACATCCTTCCTACCTCAGTTTTACAAGATGGGCAAAGCACAATAAAAATATTTTTCCAGATTCTATTACCCAGGATATTGTGCAATTATGTATCAGTAAGCCACGGCAATAACTCAGCACACTTGTGGTCTGGTGAGAACTGATTAGGTTGGCTCTTGCGATAGCACATGGGAATGATTCTGATTACAATGTACGAGCTCGCGGGGGAGAGGAGCCTCTTTCCTCAAGATGGAACCTGAGCAACCTCATCTTGTTACTGAGAGAATTCCAGAACCTGGAACAGTATTACCTTATCACACCCCCTCAAATGATTTCTGAAATCCTTCCAGTTAGAAACTTGACTTCTAATGCTGATACATTTCTATTAATCTTCAGAGATGTTTTATTCTACATTTTGCTTGAAAAACTGCAACAGATCAATTAATCATGAAATCTCTGCATAATCTTATTTTGATATTTTTCTTCTGCTTAGTATAGTACAATGCCCAGCTCACATTTCCAGCATGATCATATTTTTTAATATTCTTGACTAATATATGCAAAAATTTGGCCTCTGAATGGGCCATTACTTTTCATGATCACATCATACAATTCTGTGTTATTGTTGCCATGGCTGTTCATAACAACTCCATTAAAATACATATTGCAGGAAATCCACTGGCTAGATTTTTTTTTCAGAAAGAAGGAAATATTTTCCTCTTTTCTAAAATAATTTAAAAAATAATTGGTTTATAGTGGAAATCTTATGTATGATTTTCCATTTTCCAGAGATTTCTAAGACCTTTTTCCTAGCCATTTACAATAAATGCTTTTAAGAATCACATTTCTTTTTATCCACAGCTGTAGCAAATAAAGCTCTCCCAGTCATCACTAATATTTAAAGAAGGCACTTTTATTGACAACTTTCTACACATTAATCCAGAAATTTCACACTCAAACAATCCAACAGAAAATAGAAACAACAACAAAAAAATCCCCCATGTTTTTTTTTTAATAAAGCTATAAGCTTTTTTCCGAAATCAATTTAGATGCTCTGAAATCTCCCCGCACTTATCCAAAGGACAGTACAAATGGCAGCTTTCTTGGGTATATTGGAAAACCATCTAATTTTCTGCCACTAGCAGTAGAAACATTTGTCTCTTGAGAGAAACAGCAATGAGTCAGCTCCTAATTACTAACAGAAACCATCACTGACCAGGACAGGCACTGAAGCATCATTCATGGAGCTTTTTGCTAGCATAACCTATCAAATTTTCTCCCAGGAAGACAACAGCATAATAATATTCAGTTCTGCATTTACATCTCATTATCTGCAGGAAAAGGCTAGTTGATTTCTCATCCCTGACTTGCCAAATGCATTGCTTTCCTGTTTGACAAGACAACATCTGCAGTATATGCATTAAAAACGCTAAAATATGAATGTGTTCAAGTTTACCTCTCTAGTTAACCCTGTTAAAAATGGATGTTACTATGGGGTATGCGAGAGGAATGCAGTTCGTTGTGGGATTAAAAAATGTAGTCACAACTTAAAAATAAAGCATTCATAATAACAAAAATAAAAATAGTTGTCACTGTAAAGTTTTATTTAACCATTGTTTTGACACCCACTATTTTTTGATTCTGTGCATAATTTGGCTAAGGAAGAAGAGACAAGAGGTGACACCTTACTGCTTCAGTGAAACTACACTTGTCACACATTCAAGTAAAACTTAGGAGAACATGAAACACAGTTATTATGTATAAAAAAGCCCAAGAGGAAAATGGGGATCCATACCTCAGCCTAAAGAGCAAGTTACAGAATCTAAGCTACTGCTGAGTCAATTCAATAGAAAAAAAAACTGCCTGAAACTCATGGTTGCAATCCACTTTTCTGAGCTACCAGCATTTGAACAGCTCTGATTTTGCTGCCTACCTTTTTGACAATAGAAATGAAATACAGTTCCCACTGCATTAATTGGGTGCATTTTGGGTGGCAAATTTGG